TTTGGTCTAGGGACTGGATTATAGAAGATATACTTACCTGATCTTTAATCTTCTCCCCCCAAGCTCCAGGGATCTAATCCCTTCTGACGTAATTTTCTATATTGCGGCCCCCAGAGAAAAAATAAGCAATCAACCATTGCAGAATAGGCGCAGCCCTACTGCAAGAGTTAATTTTGTTGATAGATAGATAGATAGATAGATAGATAGATAGATAGATAGATAGATAGATAGATAGATAGAAGATTGATGAATGGATATATAATAGATGGACAGATAGATAAAAATAGATTAAAAAGATGGATATATTGATAGACCGTAGATTGATGAATAGATAGATAGATAGATAGATAGATATCACCTACTGATTGTTAGCCAAGTAGGAAAGACACATTTTTAACTTGAGGTTGCTTTTAACACTGGTCACAAAGCAAAATAAATCTCTGATTATTTTAACAGCACTTTCTAAATGGCATAATTTATAATTTTAAGAATAACTTTGAAAATTTACTTTTTGAGGTGAAATAACAGACAAATGTGACCTTTAACAACCCCGCATTTATTGCTACATTTGTAGTACCTTTTACATATTTAATTTGCACCTGTCACCCTTACAAGCAAAAATAATTGTCTAAAACATCAGTGTGGTTTTTATTTCATTTTCCTTTCAGGGTACAATAAATGGATTTAACCACAAATGGACAGAGATGAATAATACACATATAAAATATAATCTGGATTTTTTTTTTCCATAAAACATATAAGATTGAGTTAATGTTTATACTATAGCACTGGTTGGGTTATACAAGTCACATACTAAGGCATAGTGTAAATCACCTTATTCTATAAACTCGATTTAATTAAACAAATAAATGTTTCATAATGATGTAGCCAGGCAACAGTACATAAACCAGAGTACTGAGAGAGTGCAAGCTCTTAGTGAAAGAGTTGTGGAATGTGTGCATTTTGTTTTTAAAAATTATATGCACAAATACATGTTCTAGGAAGATGAAATGCATAATTTCTGATGTGTTAAACATGAGATCTGGCAATTGCAAGGTAGGATAGGGGGTAAAAGTCTCCTGTACCACCTTAAAGTATTTTTCTGTTTTGGATATAGCAAGTCAGTTTTGGGGTTTTTTAATTTCTTTTTGCTGTCTGTGTACCTACTGGGAATTTTCCCTTCACATCCTGTCCCAAAGACTCAACAGGAAGCAAGAGGGAATCTCTCCTAAGACAGCTATTACAAGAGAAGGTGTACCAGTTGCAAGATTTCTCCATTTCCTGCTTTTCCAGTGATAACTCTTAGATTTTAAATCTCCCTTCACTTTCTGTCCCTGTGATCATGCTCACTTGGACTAACAGAAAATGTGAATCTCCCCAGCACAGACACAGACAGGAAAACAAATTTGGGCTTTAGATATACTTTAACTGTAGGAGACGAGGAGGGTTATGCACAAAGCTAGCCGAAGGATCAGCCGTAGCTCCGGCTGATCCTTCGGCTAGCTTTGGCCACCAGAGCCCTTTGGTTCAGTCGAAACGAAGGGTTGTTGTAAAGCTCCCAAAGTTGGCCGAGCGGCTCAGTCGAGCTGAAGGCATATGCTTCGGCTCGACTGAGCTGAAGCGGGGCGAACAGCCCGCCTTTTGCCGGCTGAAAGCCTCGAAACTGACAGCTGGGCGGATGATCTCATGGCTGGCTCCGCCCAGTTGCAATGACAGATCAGCGTCACGGCTGTCACTGCTAGCTCAGCCCAATTGTTTTTTTTTTATTATTATTTTTTTCTTTTTTTTAAACAAATCTTTATTTATTTTCTTAAATGTATAATTTATTTACATTTTTAAACATTTTTTTTTCTACTTTATTTTTCAACTTTTTAAAGTTTTTTTTCTATTCTGCTTGGTACCACGGAGGTACCGAGCAGAATAGCCGAGCCGAATGCCGCTCAGCTATTCACTCACTGCCATTTAGCCCCTATGAGAATAGGCCGAACAGCCGCAAGTAGCCTACCGGAGGTTCGGCTCAGCCGATCCAGATTTGGATCGGCTGAGTCGAACGTGTTCTTTACTTCGGCTCAGTCGAAAATGCTGAACCGAAGCCAGCCAGGGCAAGCCGATCTATGGCTAATTTCAGTCGATGTAGGGCTGCAGTTAGCCTCACTGAGATAAAGTAAATAGCCGAACAGCGTTCAGCTCTGTTCACTTGGGCTCTGTTTTTACTTGGCTGCCTTAGGCAGCTTTGTGAATAACCCTCTAGGTCTGACCTTTAGGCGTTGATTTACTATAGGCAAATAGGCTGTTCATTTTGCAAGGAAATTTGGTGAAACTTCACTTTTGCCAAGAATACACAAACACGTGGAAGGAATTAAGAAGAAAAACAGTATTTTTGTTTGCACATGATTGGATGATGGGAGTTTCCCCGCATTCACTAAACTAAGGGGAAACTTCCCCTTCAAAGTACAAATTCCCAAACAAAGTGAACAGTTTATTTCCTTCAGTAAATCAACCCCTTAGAGTCTTAGAAAGTCCCATTGGATGTTATGTGGCACATATGTATAACGGTTTATCAAACCATCATACCACAGCGTTTATTGCATTTATTTAATGTAACATTGCAATGTAATATTATTTAATTCATATATACAGCAGCTCTGATAAAGTGTGTAGTTGATATTCTCAGCACCATTAGCATCAGATTCTGTCCAGGGAGCAGCTTAGAATTTAATGTCCCTTCTGCCCAGGTGCAGGCCTTCCAGCGCCATGTTGAAGACATGGCATGTAGCACTTTACTATGTTCACTTTAGCAGAAAATACTGAAATCAGCCTTTTGTAAAAGCTCTTGCAGTATGAGACTGATTTACTAAAGTGTAACATGAGGTGAAGTGAAGGGAAGTCAGCCTGGGACTGATTTACTGAGGTGTGAAGAAGTTTTATTTAAGACGTTTTTGAATTTGAGAGGTACTGTTCCATGGTTACCCCAGCCCCAGCATCTGTTGCTTCCTGGGGGCATGGTTGATATCACTGTGCCTCCTGGCCGAGCTGGGTGCTCGAAATCCCACAAGAATTCACTCTCAAAATGAACTGGAGTGTAGTCTCACAGGATTTCAAGTTCCCATCTCTGCTGGGAGACATGGTGATATCATCTGTGCCTCCTGGAAGCGTCGGAGGTAGGGGTCAAGTTACATTTTTTGTGCAAAATGGTTTGTTAACACATGGCTTTTGTGTTGGGGGGCAGGGGGATGACAAGAAAGCAGACCTCCTTTAGCTTGCCATGGAAGGTCTGCTTGACCTTCAACCCAAAACTGATATTTCAGATTTTGGTCTCTTGTGTCTCTCATAAACTTGTTATCACATCTGCCACGTCCTTTACTAAGGGCTCTTACTATCCATTTTTTAGATTTTTTTTATATATTGAGAAGAATGTACCTGGAGGAATGCGATCAGGATAGGGACTATAGTGTCATTGAATTACATTAAAGAGTTAGGATATCCAAAACCAGTATTTCAGCTTTTTGGTGCTGCTGAATAATAAAGAGTAGTGCATTGTGCCACTTAATTTTATATTTGCCCTGGACTGAGCTTATTCACTAGCATACTATTATATGGTTGATCACCTACTGAAGAAAACAAATATACATTTGAATCAATGTGTAAGGAACCATGAAAACATAACAATCTAGTAGAAATTAATTTATTCAACATTTAAAATGGATATTATTATACTGTATGTTTAGACCCTATGTTTAGTGAAGTTGTCATTTAAATGTTCCCTCCACACCAATGAGTAATGACCAATTACCAATATACTTCCCTTAAGCACCCAAGTTCTTCACTGTGTGGCCCTGCCCGGAGTTGTACAGCCTTTGCAGAAAGAAATCCCAGGCACATGCAGCTTATACTGTGCATGCCTCCAATTCATTCCTCATGGCAGCACACAGCCATCCAGAGAAGTACAGCTCTAGCCATAAAAATAAACAGGCACGCATGCACAGTAGAAGCTGTAAAGGGATGAGATGTCTTTTTCAAAGGCTGTGTGGCACACGGCAGGGCTCCACAGTGAAGAAATTAGGAAGGGGTCTGCAGGTAAGTATTATGGTAGGTGTCTGGCACTCAAAGCGGTAGGGGGGAGCATTTAAAGAAAAAGTGACATTGTCTTTTAAGACCTTTTCCTTAAAATATACTATACTGACCAAAATAAAATAAAAACTGAGTGGCTGCAGTGGATTTCTGGCTTTTTTTATTATTATTACTGAAATGAATTCAAATATATTATACAAATTGATGCCATAATCACCTTGTTTATCAACTGTAAATCATATTTGTTCAGAGGTGTATTATTTGTACTTTTGCAGTTCCAAAGCAAGAATGAAATCGTGGTTTCTTCTTAAAAGCAGTATTTTTTTTTGAAGTAGCTGGCACATCACCATTTTCAAGCACTGATGTTCTTGACCTAGGTAAGGTCTCATGCACACGGGTGTACTGCAGAGCAAATACAGGTGAATTGTCATACAGCATAAAATATGTCGGTATTGAAGAGCCTGGGAGCCACAGCTGCTGCGGTTTTCCATCCATAGCAATGTAAAGAGAGAAAACTCTGTAGTCTAATGTACACCTACAAATGTTGGCAACAGCGTTTACAAACGGGAGTAAGTTTCCAAATGTAAAACATTCGCATTCGGAAACCTCTGTGTGTGCAAACGTCAGTGCTGGCGTTTTCAGGTGTAAACCCGAGTGCATCCATTTCTGTCCATACATTACAGAAAACTGCAACAGCGGTGGATCTGGGGTGCCAGAAGTACAGGTGTATTTTATGCTGTATTAAATTATGCTAATATTTGCTCTACAATATGCCTGTGTGCATGAGCCCTAAAGGTCTGCTTTGCGTCTCCAAATGTTTTCTTACACCCCAGCCAGCACAAACATACAGTATAAATGAATACATCATCATAATAATAATAGAGAATGTTATAAAATACCAACAAAGTATTTTTTTTTATATTTGACAGGTAAACTATGACCACTTTGCTACTAGTGTTCGTGTGTTTGCGTGTCATCGCTGCAGCAACACCCGTGATAGTTTCAGGTGAGCTTTACATTAAATAGGTTTCATCACCTTTATAATCTCATTTAGCCTTTTAATATTAGCAGTGATAAGTTATGACATGGTCAAGGTTTCACAATGGCTGATTCCTATATTATTATTGTTATTATTATTTTTTTATATGCCCCTGTATGTATCCCAGCATTTTAGCATTTTGAACTGGTAACTTTAAAGTGTATTACAAATAATTAAATGCATTTTAAATACAACTAATGTAATTTTCCAAATGTTTCTTGATATCAACCTCTTATAATTCTGTACAGCAGGTCTCATACTGGGGTAGGGAGGGGCAGTCCCACAAGTCAGTCAGACTCTGATAAATGCACAAGTGCTGAAGAACAGCATGCTGAATAGAGTTCAGAGTTTGGAAGCTTATTAGTGTGCTTCCCTTCTCTCATTGTCTAGTTGGAAGCAGGGGCCAGGGAAGTGACCTAGCTATATTGCTTAACTGCAGTTCAGAAAAGAAAAGTCCCCAGCCTGGATCTGCTGTCTGGCAGTGCTGTGTAAATCTCAGGACTGGCTGGACCAAATGACAAATCCTTGGCCTGTACAACAGCTTCCATGTATGTACTCACATGGAAAGCTGTAGGCTCTGGGGCTTTTTTCCTTATCTTGACTTTACTACCTAGTAATTCACTGGCACCAATATGCAGGACAGTTCACACTTTGTTAGAATTTACCTGCTAGGTAGTAAAGCCAAAATCAGGCAGCCAAAAAACAAGTCAGCAGTGCCAGTACTCCTATTTCTATGCTCACAGGTTCACTTTAACTAGTTCACACAATTTATATCAACCCTGCTAATTTGGCCTGGCTCCACTGATATTTAATAGAAAGCAAGCCAATTCATGGGAATCTTAAGGCTTTTCCACCAAAACACAATCAATAGGTAGGGGATTATGCAATGGCACAGAAGTTAGTATAAAAGTTAACTCTCACTGCTGGTATCATGTAACTCCCTTGGGGGAAAGTAGGGTGGGTCAAGATTTGTCAGCAGACTAATAATGCCAAATATGATATAACTATGGCCTAACCACGTTAGACCCTTATCTTAAGACTGTCCATCATTCTAGACCCAAGCCTTCATAAAAATAAATTTGTGTGACTGCAAATAGAAATAACTGCCAGATTATTTATTTTACGAAATAATGTATGTGCTCCTTTTATGGATTCTAGACGATGATAGCACACTGAGTGTGCGAATTCCCGAAGAGGCTCCTCTAAATGTTCAGCTTGGACACTCAGTCACTATCCCCTGTTACTTCATCAGTTTGGTAGAACATTTAACCGTGGCCCCCTCAACAGCACCGATAACACCAAGGATCAAGTGGAGCAGACATAACAAAGGGCGTGAAACAGTATTGCTGGTGGCCAATGCTGGGCAAATCCGTGTCAATGGAGCCTACAAAGGACGTATATCTTTACCAAACTATCCTCTCATCCCTTCTGATGTCAGCCTGGAGATTGTAAACTTGTTGTCCAGCGATTCAGGAGTCTACCGCTGTGAAGTAATGCATGGAATTGAGGACAGTCAAGATGCAGTACAACTCAACGTAAAAGGTAACGTTTACTGACTTACTATTAATCTTTTCTTCATTAAACTTAAAGTCAGTTTGTTAAAGATTATATTGACTAAAAAGTGTGGTGCCTCATACTTTAGTGATGTTGCAATTACAAAGTGGAATGTTATCAAATTGTTGGGTCAGAATTTTGACTGACAGCTTGCCATTGGTTTACATGAAAATCAGATGTTGTGATACAATTAAAACAGAATTACCTTTGAGATAGAGAAGCTGTATTCAAAACCATGCAACGTAATAACTGATGACTTTATTTTGCACTTTGAAAGAAAGTTGAGAGTAAATCTGTGATTATTTTCCTAATCTGCTGGCTCTCTTCCTTGTATCATTTTGGATTTACTACCTAGACAGAGTAGTAGTGAGTGCTAAATATTTGATTGCTGAGGTTATTGTTTTTTAACTGTCTGAAAAATGCCTTCTGCTATCCATACCTGATGATTTTTCATTTTGGTCTCTTCCCACATTCTCTAGAGACTTCCTGAGTCAAAATTGTACTGTTTGCTTTATGTGTGTGGCTGCCATACAACAGTTGGTCAATGTTCAGTTTTTCAAAAAAGTCTACTTTTTAATAGAGCTTAGGCTTATTTACTCATGTCTACGCATGCAGTAAGCTAAGGTGAAAATATATTTATTGATTTTTATTAAACCACTCAAAGTTTTGATGGGCTGATATCGCAATGGTTGTCTTGTTTCTGCACACAGTTGCTCTTTAGTTTATGCTATTAAATAACCACTCTGGTGTTTAATATGTAAAACATACATTTTTTAGATTTCTGACATACAGCCTTGTGAATACCCCACTGTGAGTACTGTTGTATTATTAGCTAACCACTTCTGGTCCTTGAACATTATTTAAAATGAAGTAGTAGGCTCCAAAGATTTTTTGTTGTGCAAACTGCTTTAGTTTAACTAATACAGAGGGCAAGAAGCTAAAGGCATGACTGTGCTGAGGAGTTTTTTCAGTGCACAGAGGTATCTAACTAATTCCAATTAATATAATACACTTAAGTCTAATTAATATATTACACTCACCTCTTGTAGACCTTCCTGAAAATATTTTCTGTAGCACGCCTTTAAGGACTGCCTTCATTGGCACAGTATGCTACTGACCAGCATGGTTTTGTTAGGGAACAGCTGAAACGTTGTTTTAATTTATTATATGTTTTATTAACTATTTCCTTTACCTATTTTCTTGATTTTGCTGTGTTGTGTTTACTAACCTGCTGTTTCCATAAAATAATCAGTAACTTAGGGACCATTCTCATACACTGCAAATAGCAATATCAGCTCAAAAGTTACTTTTAGGGGTCTATTCACTAAGCTGCCGTAGGCAGCCGAGTGAAAGACCGACCTGAAGTGAAGTGAGCCAAACGCTGTTCGGCTATTCACTTCAGGCTGGTACGGCTGATTTCAGCCGTAATCAGCTGAAATCAGCCCTACATCAGGTGGTTTCACGTGACTTCGGGTAACCCGAACATGCTCAGCATGTTCGGCGGACCCGAAGTGCAGGAGTTCGACTCAGCCGATCCAACATCTGGATCGACTAAGCCGAACCTACGGCAGGCTACTCGCTGCTGTTCGGTCTATACTTATAGATGCCGAACAGCAGTGAGTGAATAGCCAAATGCCGCTGGCTGTTCTGCTCGGTCCCTCAGAGGGACCGAGCAGAACAGAAAAATAGTTTAAAAAGTACAAAAAAATTAATAGAAAACAATTGTGCGGAGCTAGCAATTACAGCTAGCTCCGCCCAACAGTTTTCTATTGTCCGGCGGTTCTGCTGCCGTCAAAAAAAAAGAAAGAAAAAAACCTCTCCTGGGTGCTCTGGGAGTCTCCTGCTCCCGGCCGCCCCGGAGAGAAACACTGCTTTTTGACACGGAGCGATGTCAGAATAGAAAAGGAAAAAAAAAAATTTTGCCCATAGGAATGCATTGCTCGATTCCTATTGGCTATTTCAATTTGCAATAGCCAATAGTAAACTAGCATTGTACCCGCCCTCTGCTGGTGGACCTGATGGAGAACTGCAGCAGAGGGCGGGTGCAATGCTAGTTTACTATTGGCTATTGCAAATTGAAATAGCCAATATGAATCTTGCTATGCATTCCTATGGGCAAAAAAATATTTTATTTTTTTTCTATTCTGACACGGCTGTGTGTCAGAAAAAAGAAAAAAAAAGAAAAAGCAGTGTTTCTCTCCTGGGCGGCCGGGAGCGGGAGACTCCCGGAGCGCCCGGGAGAGTTTGCTGTCTGGAGATCAGTGTCCCTGGTTAGGTGGTAACCAGGGACGTTGATCTCCCTGCAAGTGGCCGGAGCCAGCCGTAAGATCACAGCTGGTTCGGCCCAGCTGCCAGAAGCAGGCTGTCGGCCAGCCAATGGCCGGCCGCTCGGCCAGCTTCGGCTTTCAGCACGGCTCAGCCAAGCCGAGGTATATGCCTTCGGCTCGACTGAGCCGCTCGGCTAAGTTCGGGAGCTGTACAGGCTATTGTGAATATCCAGCACAGCAGCCCTTCGTTTCTACTGAACCGAAGGGGTCCTGGGGCCGAAGCTAGCCGAAGGATCGGCCAAAGCTATGGCTAGATCCTTCGGCTGCTTCGTGAATAGACCCCTTAGTGGCACGCAAATATCTGCTTTCACTCTATGTGTTTACTAACTTCAGAAAATGTCAGGATAAATGATAAAGCTTTTATATTTGGCCTGCTAGATATTCTATCAAGCTTTGCCCCAAATAGCTGTTAGACCATCCATGGCTTGAAGCTCATTCCAAATCTGCATAGGTAGTGTGTTTTCTTGTAGATCAAACAAGGCTGCTTACATACATTTTTGTTCTGAACTTTTAAACAAACAATATGTGTTATATAATAAGGAACAGTTGAAGATGAAGGATATACATTTCCATATCTATCTATATATATCTCTATATATCTCTCGCTCTATATATTTTGGGAAATAAAATATGATCATTTACTACACATGTGGTTTTGTATGGTGTACCTATAAAAATCATTATATGGATAACTGAAACTGAAATAAAAAAATAAAAAAATCTGTAGGTTCTAAATAACCATCCCACCTCAAATAATGTTCTCCATTTTAAATGTAAAGGAACAGGGTTTTGTCCTCTACTGGTCTTCCCTGCCGGTCTACACATACTCACTATATAGAATTATTAATACTTGGTGTATTTATAGGTGAAAACACACCTTTACTCTAGTTGTATTTTGCTGATATCCATTGAAGTACCATAAAATCTGATAGATGGCAGGCCTATTGCCGGTTCAGTTCGGAAAAGGAGTGTAGTAGTTCTACTGTTTCTTTCCAAATGAGTTTTAGTAACAAAGGTTATAGACCCATGCATGTGGTAATAATAGAATACTACAGGCTTTATTGGCAAATTCTATGGAAAGAAATATGGGAGCAGCCATTACAGAACTGATTTTGAAGCTACAAGCTTAAAATCTTCCATCCCTCATCCCTATTTAAAGTCCATGTAAACCCTCTAGATTTTCCGCGCTGAGTTATAAAAGGGCATTTTTTAATGTAGGTTAGCACATGAAATGTCTTAAAATCAAGCTAATTTCCCTTTTGTTTCTTAGTAAATGTATTTGGAAAGCTGGGTTTATCTTGCACCCTTTTAGACAGTGCTGGAAAGGGTGAATGGGTGAGCAGGGCTTTTGCATCATGTTCTAAACTCCTGTAGACAGTACAATGTGCTCTCAGTTTAAAGAAATGTGGGTGGAGCTTTTTGTGGCTTTTCATTGATAGGACTATTGATGATCTTGTGCAAACATCTAAGCAGTTACAGCAGCAGCAAGGGTCACATTCCTGCAGTGCCTTTACTAGAGAAGGAAGATTCCTGCACCCAATGTATGTTTTGCTACATGTGCTACAAGATGGAGAGTCTCATGGGTTAGAGTTAGGACCGCCCTACACAGAGGGGCCTTGACGAGGCAGTGCATATTTCACATATTCTGCAGAAGACGTGTATCTGAAACCTCTGTTTTTAACCTTAACGGTTAGACAGGTTTTGGTTTTTTTGGGGTGGGGGGGTTGCATGCTGGCTGGTGAGTGTGCTGGGAAACTTTTAGCTTTTGCTGTTTTACTGGTATGGGAAACAAATGTGACTTCCTAGTTTGACTATAGTGCTACTTTAAAGAAGAATTCGGGCAGTACAAAAATGAACCTTTGCAGTTGGGTTACCCCCGCACTGTAAAGGTTAACTGCTTGTTTTGGTCTAGGGTGTAAAATAAAAAATATATACTCCCCCAATCCTCGGCCCTTCCTGGCTACTTAACCGGTCCCAACAGCCTTTTCTTCCCTGGGCTCTGGCAGTCTGTGACATCATTACATCTATACAATGTAATAGATGTGGAGATACCAATGGACATTCCACAGCCAAAGCAGAAAGGGGGGGGGAGGTGAGTGGTCACCACTGCGGGATCAAGGATCGGTTGAGTATATTTTTTTATATTACACCCTAGACTGAAACAGGCAATTAACCCTTGCAGTATGTGGGTAGCCCCATCTCAAGGGTTTATTTTTGTAATATCCAGAGTTCCTCTTTAATCTTATAGTTAGTAGCTTAGGAAATAGATAAAAAACTGGTAAAGTAAACTTTTTCACTATCAAGAAAAGCCTGGCATTAGCTGTGATGGAAAGGTTTTGAAAGCTGCTGCAAATATGCACAGGTGCCTGCAGTTTATAACTGCACTGTTTTGGTACCAATCAATTTGTGCAAACAAGTTTTGTACGTAAATTTAAAAAAGCAGTTTAGGTCTTTATCGTGTAACTATAAACTTGTATGTTTACTTTCTACCTTTGAAAGATATTTGAGGGACTGGTAAGTGACCACAAAAGAATATGTTATAAAAAATAATATCACAGGTGAAAGCCACCATGGATTTATAAAAGACAGTTGTCAAATGTATTTTCTTTTTATGAGTTAGTAAGCAGAAATGTAATAAAAGAGGGGACACTGGATGAAGTGGTTTTTGACTTTCATAAAGCATTTGACGCTGCTTTGGAAAGACAACATTGTGTACCTTAAGTTCTGTTGGTTTAGGAAATAGATAGAAAACTGGTATATTAGAATAGAGTTTGGGAATAAAAGCATGGTTATGTGTTCAGGGCCGGATTTACTCCACCTGCCGCCCCAAGGCCAGGTTCCACAATACGCCCCCCCCGCGCGCCGCTAGCCCCCCTCCCCATCAATTGAGAATGGCAACCAGATGGCAGGGCGGGGCGTATTGTGGAACCTGGCCTTGGGGCGGGGCTACTTTACATTTTTTTTTTACTGTTTATTTTTATCACTTTTTATTTTTTTATTCAATTATTTCTTGCGCCGTGATTGGCCGGCGGCCGCACACTACGCAGCCGGTGGGCGGAGCCTCGGGCCGCCCCGTCGTGATTGGACGGCGGCGGACCGTAGTGTGCGGCCGTCGGATACCTTACACCGGCGCCCGCAACTTCCCCACAGGGTCACCGCTGCCGCCCCGAGGCTGGGCCTCGGTGGCCTTGTGGGAAATCCGGGCCTGTATGTGTTAAAGCAGAAGCCCCAAAAAATAATAGCCCAGTAAAAGATAAAGTTAAAAAAGCAGCTTTTGCTGCAATACTCATCTTCAGTCCAAAGTATCGAAGTCCCACAGTATTGACTCCAAAGTTTTCTGGTGTGAATGAAAGCAAATAATCATTTAACACATTTTGTCTGGACCCAGGCTGTATGTAATGGAGAACTTAAAGTAAAGTCTCAACAGGGAATTCGTTTTTTTAATAGGTTTTCTTTAAATTCACCACAAAAGGTGTATAACTCCTCCACACAGAAGGGGTTCTTTACAGTAAGAGCTGTAAAAATGTTGATTGGACTTTTATGGGAACCTACTCTAGCAGATTAGAGAGGTACATATCTTTAAAAATTGAGTTTAATACATAAAATATTAATCTCTAGAAAGAAATACATAATTGAATGTTGATCCATTGGTTATTCAATTGCCTAGGGCAGGAGGTTTTCAACATTTTAATCTGAGGCCTAAATAATAAAAAAAAATGTATGTACTGGGGCCCAAGAAGAGAATTATTACCAATGATCCACTGATTTTTTTTATCATTCAGAGAGAGGGCCATTCTACCACCTCTACAAATGCAAAGGCCATTTTTTTTTTGTTTGGTGACTGACCTTGATGGACCATATGCTGTCTAACCACTCAGATCTGGAATTGTTTTCAAGTTCTGCTAGACCCCCTCAAATCTTTCCACATGTATATCTAGAAATACTTTTAAACCATCTTTAATATACATTTATGTGTGATTTAGAATAATATGTTCTTTAAAAAGTGAGTTAAAGATTGCTTCACTGAATTGTTACAATCAAGAAACATATGAAGAGCATTCCCATAAAGTAGGTAGTTTTAGTTGCCACGGAACATTATAACTATAGGCTGGGAGCCCACACATGTCAAAACTTGTCATCCAACACTTAGGGATGCATTTATTAACATATGAAGTGTGGTGAAGTCAAATCATCTTCTTATGTACAGAAGAAACAGTTTTTTCAGATTTCCCCAAACAGTATATGAAGTGAATGCATTTGTAAATAGATAAAGAGTACTTTTGGAAATCTTACACTTTTACTTATGTATGCCTGTGTTGTTTGCTGTTATAACTTGCCCCCCTACTTACAGGAGAGTGGTTTCCCTACCTCCTCATTAAAGACTTAATAGGACATCACTTCCTTTTGGGGTGATTGCATATTTATGTCATTGTTACTCTGTTATGAAAAGCACCCAAATTCCTTTGACTGCTTTCAGTCATTTAAATGGGTATTCTCTTTAGATTTCTTCACCCTCTGACTGGAGTTCAGAAAGCAGATGGGGGGCCCACACCTCAGTGTGGGATCAGGTGCTCTAGAAGCTTTGGAGAAAACTGATAAGGGCTCCAAAGGTGCACAGTATGTATTACATATTCTGAATGTAACGTAAAATTTCACAAAAACTAAACAATGGCCATTAAAATGATTCAACCATTCTCATCCCAGTTTATATTTACAACTGTCTAAAAAAAAAACATCTTCTGAATTTCAAAGCTCTTGATACCATTATAGCATTGTTTCATTATAAGTCGAATAACTGAATGCAAATTTTAATCTGTCTATTCTTCTTTATTGTTTGATTTTTAGGGATCGTTTTCCACTACAGAGCAATCTCCACAAGATACACTTTGGACTTTGAAAATGCCAAAAAAGTTTGTATACAAAACAGTGCTGTCATCGCTACCCCTGAACAACTCCAGTCAGCTTATGATGATGGCTATCACCAATGTGATGCAGGTTGGCTTTCTGATCAGACAGTAAGGTAAGAAGCATCATCATCATTTGTTTTTATTTAATTATGATCATTTGCAGCTTTTAGACATCTTACAAGTCTGATGCACTTTATGGGAATTAGTGCACAAGAAAATTGTACAAAAAAATCAGTAAATGTAAACTATTTTGCTTTCTACAGGTAATCTTATTCATAGCTTGAGTCATGATCTAAGGTTGGCCATAGGTGGGTGGATATTTCACAGAAAGTACAGACAGTGGGACATTTGACCAAACTCTTAACACTGATGGAACCCGTTTGAATCTTTTCATCAATTTGGCCAATGCAGCTCAGAGCCTCGCCATATTGCTTTCAAGTTATTTTTCCTACACATCACCACCATTCTCATATCTCAGAACAACAGTACTGCTCAGTCCCTCACCCCTACTAGCTGGCTTCAAGGCATTTGTTTTTTTTTGTCATTTTTAATCAATATTCTACTATTTACACAGTCATTTTTAATGCCCACTAATCCTTATCTGCAGTACATCAGCAGTTCAGGGGTTGTTTTCCTACATCAACTGTTACTATTTTGTGTAACCCTCTTTTAACATACAGTAATTGGTAGGCATTTGCTATTTAACTCCTCTTCCCCTGGCCTTTCAGTGGCCACTGCAATACATCAATGTAGAAAACAGGGTCTGTTAGTGAATTAGGGTCAAATTAGGGACCAACATGAAACTGGAAGTGATAAGGACAGATTTAAGACATTAGGGATAGTTTCCTGTGTTCCCTGTGTGTACTTCAATGCTGTTTGACATATATTAGATCAAAGTGAAGCAAAAGACATCCTTGCAACATCTCTTTGTTAAATCCACATACATGTTATCAATATTTTCTGTTCTCTAAATAAAAAAATGTGATTTATTTTATTTCCCTGATGATTAGATATATTCTCTCTTCCACCAAAAATATGATGAGCTCATAATATTTTTTTATTTGAGAGGGTATTTATACAAATTCTAGAAAACATGGGAAACTCATGGTGAAATTCTACCACAATGGGAAAAAAATCACAAACAAGTTGATTAGGCATGAAGATCTGTAAGAGACTGCATTAAGTGTAATAATATTTCACCATACTCCTCATTACAGGTATCCAATTCATAATCCACGAGAACCCTGCTATGGTGACAAAGAAATGTTCCCCGGAGTTAGAACTTACGGTGTTCGAGAAACTGATGAAACCTATGATGTGTATTGCTATGCTGAAGATATGAAAGGTGTGCTTTTATCTATCTATCTATCTATCTATCTATCTATCTATCTATATATCTATCTACATACCTATCCATCCATCCTGTTTACAATACCAATGACTTCTGCGTGTTTTTTTTCACAGGTGAAGTGTTTTATGCAACATCTCCTCAAAAGTTCACCTTCCATGAGGCAGAGAAGCAATGCCAGAATCTAGGAGCTAGACTGGCTACTACAGGAGAGCTTTATCTGGCTTGGCAGACTGGCATGGATGTGTGCAGTGCTGGTTGGCTGGCAGATCACAGTGTAAGATATCCAATATCCTATGCACGTCCCAACTGTGGTGGAAACTTAGTTGGAGTCAGAACAGTCTATCTCCACCCTAACCAGACTGGATATCCAGATCCTCTGTCTCGTTATGATGCTATTTGCTATAAAGGTTAGTTTTTACTTTTCCTAATATGTTTTGGTAACCATTTCTAGAGGAACTCATATTACAAAGAGATGCTGTGCCAACACTTGGAGGGGCTTTCTACTGTGTTGAAGAAATAGATCTCTAATTTTTATTTCTGGTATTTATAATACAAGAGGTAGCGAGTATATCTGTCTATCTCATATCTTGGCCAATGGAAGTTTAGATGTAGCCAAATCTTATGCCTCTTGTAGGAAAAATAATTAGTCTATTTTTCCTACGCATTAGATATGATTTTTTTGCCATCCTTATCTGTCAACACTGAAGTGATTGACATAAATTAATCAGATAGTCATTTGTTCATGTAGTAGTGGGGAAATGTCCAAGATGAGATCACTTTTAACAAAAGTTCTCTTCTCTGAAAGACATATCTTAAAGCATGGCTAACACATCCACTCAGAATGAACACATTAGTTATTAAAATTACATAATATAGCTGAGTCATCCATACACTTAAGTCTAAGTGTCCTTATGTGTTCTTTCAACTGCTTTGCTCCTGGAACAGATGATGCTGAAAACATTACTATTCAAACTGTGACACAGCCTGGCCTGGAGCTCATCTTCCAGAGAAATGTTACTGAAGAGGAAGCTCGTGGCAGTATTGCTACCTTGGAAGGTCTGGACTTCACCCTCACACCCTCTGAAGACAGCTTTACAGCTACACCAGTCTTTCCAGGAACGCCTATAAGTCCAGACCTGGTGCCAACAGAAGCCCCGTTGGAAAACATTACAGACGATAGTTTTCAGCTATGGCTGGAAAATATCACAGCTGTTCCATCTGTTGAAGCCATTGGCACAGGTGAGGGGGAAGTAGTGCCAGTTACTGCTGCCATTGATGTTGCCCAGCCAGAAAAACCCATCTCTGAAACTGGTAAGTACTAAGCTAATTCAGTCTAACAGCAGTCAGTAGGGAGAATCTCTTTGTTCTCTATCCATTGTGCTGGTCTCATTATATAGAATCAAATGTATTAAAAGCAGACCCATTATGCATAAATAAATCATCTGTCACTCATCAGACTGTGAGCAAAAGTGTGTTATGGTTTATATTTCTTATAACACATACTGTACCTTGACATGTCAGCTGCAAACCCCTCTTTTATATTACCTGTGTATGAAATGCTGCATCAAATCCTGTTACACTAAATGCATGTGATTCTTCATCATAAGCAGGAGTTTGAGTGCATGCTGTGAAATTATGGGGGAATTTCTGGTTTTCACAAACACAGTGTGCTCTGACACTGGGGCATGCTATGTCCCAGTGGAATGCATTTTTTTAATTGGAATTCTTATGAATACTAGTATCTATCTAGATAATGGCAGATATATTCCAGAACAACACATGTTTACTTATTAATTATGTCCTGTGTACAGTGCAAGGTTCTATTTGCTCACCTGTGTTTGTGGTTTGTTATCTAACATCCACGGAACTGGACATGTGACAGAGTATCAAAGTTTCTATGCTATTACATTAATATAGATAACACAAAATAGTGATCAGCAAATCAGGCAAATTGAATATCGCAGATTCACCAAACTATATTTATGCAGACTTGTCAGATCTGAGTAGAATCAGCGGATATTTGAATTGGCCTAAATATTTCAATGCAGATTTTTTTGACGTGCCAATAATTATGAAATTCAGGAATCAAAACATTTGTGACTCATTAATGATATGACTCTCTGCAGACTGTACACATCTTCAATAATTTTAGAATTCACAGTTGAATGAGTCACCTAATTTGAAAACTGATTGACTCAACACTATGCCAAAACACAGGAATTTTGTTTAATGTACAGTGTATCCTTTTACAGCATCAGTACAAGCACTGTAAAATGTATGGCTGTATATGAATAATAGAGGAAGTAAAATGAAGATGTATCAATCTATCTATCTATCTATCTATCTATCTATCTATCTATCTATCTATCTATCTATCTATCTATCTATCTTTTTATCATCTATCTATATTTCTATCAATTCCTTGTCTATTTATTTATCTATCTAGCTATCATTTAAGTCATTTATGATAAAAAATTAAATACTCTGTTTAGTTCAAGTAAAAAAAGGATTAAACTTCAATTGATTGCATGATTAAAGCCCTGACTGCTAATAATCTGTCCTTTATTGTTACATCAAGGTATTGTGTTCCATTATCGAGCCGGATCCAGTCGATACTCCCTCAACTTCAACCAAGCTAAGCAAGCGTGCCTGGACAACCATGCTGTCATCGCAACCCCTACTCAGCTCCAGGCAGCCTTTGAAGCTGGTTTCGATCAGTGTGATGCTGGATGGATATCAGACCAAACTGTCAGGTACTCATGTCTGAATTAAATGAAAGATTACAACTGTCATGGAGCAATTGAGTCTGTAAAAAAGAAATTAAATTAAAGTAAACATATCAAATTAGCAAATCAAATGGCTCTTTAGAATTGCCATCTATTTTTGGAGTTTGTAGCATTGTATCTAGATATAATACAGATATAGCCAAATAAACAATTCCACATCAAATTCAGAATTCTACTTTGATCAGTGTCAAACATAGTACAACATTCTGGTGCATATAGGTAGAAATATAAATATCTACTATATCCTTGTCCTAATTGTGTTGTGATTGCTTTAAATTCACTGTATCAAATCTGTATATACAGTATGTGCAGGGTTGCTTTGTTACACCTTGTCATGCCATTAGCAATTTTATGATAGTGACCAAACCTTTAAATGTGCTGAGAAAAGTACTTTTCAGTCTAAAATAGTGTTGTAAATTGTTTTACCTGTTAATCCAGCTGGAAATTCAGTGAACTTCTAACTTCTTGCAGTCAGTTGACAATACTGCACTGAAAACCCGATCATTGTTATCAGCCCCAGTTATTTCATCTATGTGGACTAAAGAGCATGTTAGGGAAATGAGGAGAGAGTGATGCATTCTGTAGTCACAACACACTTAAAGGGTTATTCACAAAGCTGCCGAAGGCAGCCGAGTGAATAACCGAGCCGAAGTGAACAGAAGCCGAACGCTGTTCGGCTATTCACTTTAGCTCAGTATGGCAAATTTCAGCCGTACATTGCTTCGGCTTGCTTTGGTTCAGCCGAACATGCTCAGTATGTTCGATTGAGCCTATTTTCATAGTACCGAGCAGAATAGAAAATCAGTGAAAAAAGTAGGAAAAAAATGTTTAAAAATGTAAATAAATGATAAATTTAACAAAATACATAAAGATTTTTATAAAAAAAAACAAAAAAAATATTTTAAAAAAAACAACTGGGCAGAGCTAACAGTGACAGCTAGCTCCACCCAACTGTTTCCTATTGGCCAGGACCTGCTAGAATCTGTCATTGCAACTGGGTGGAGACAGCTGTGAGATCACGGCTGGTTCCGCCCAGTTGCGAGGCTTTCGCCCAGGTTCCGCTCAGCCGAGCCGAAGCATATGCCTTTGGCTCAGCTGAGCCACTCGGCTGCCTTCGGGAGCTGTAGGGGCTATAGTGAATAGCCCGTACAGCAGCCCTTCGGTTCGACTAAACCGAAGGGCTCCGATGGCCGAAGCTAGCCAAAGGATCAGCCGGAGCTACGACTGATCCTTCGGCTAGCTTTGTGACTAACCCTCTTAGTGACCTAGGGAGACAATGCCACTCCTCCATAGATACTGTAGTGTACAATGAATGAGCATTATCACCTTAGGACAGGGAGTGTGTTACTGGCAGGATTACTAAGCGAAAATAGAGGGGGAAAAGCCTGAAGAAATACAAATAATACCGTCATTACTTCTATGGATTGCTATGCTGCAATATATCACATTTATGTTCCTGGATTTCGATACACCTATATGCAGTCTAATTGATTGATTGATTGATTGATTGATTTTATTTACCTAATAGATCAGTCCACCCAAAATTAAAAATTAAGCTATTTTAAATAATTTGTCTTCTATTTGGATTTAACTTTATTACCAAAGCAATATTGAAAGGAGCTCTAAAGGCACCAGCATCACATTAGGTACTCAGAACAGAATTGCGAAATAAAAAAAAAAGGCTGTGTTATTATGCTCAAAAATATTTTCTTACTTTTAAAAACACTGCATATTCCCACCTCTTTGGAGTAGCAGCTTCTGCTTTTTTGGTTCTTCCAGGTAATCTCATTTTGCGTCATCTCCCACAATGCCATGCATCACATGTCATATACAGCTGGACTTCAGGCTGTAGGAGAAGTTGGCAAAGTAGAGATGTGGGTGGGACTGTTGATAGGACATTAAGGAGGAGGGGTGGAGCTGTAAGGGAGTAGTGAAAAAAACAGTGTACCATTTTCTGCGCAGAGAGCATCTGCATGTGTGGCTGCAATGGGAGATATTAGGCATACTGGAAATGTATGTTAATGTGGTTCTCAGCATCTATTCAATAGTATTTATGAGGTCTAAATGTACACAGATTTAATTTAAAGATAAAGGGTGGAAGATGTGAATTTCCCTGATAAAGTTTCATGATAACTTCTAAATGAACACTAAAGATTCAAAGTGCACTGATGTTAATTTACAAAAAGGCAAATTTTTATGCTTCTATACTTAAACATCCTGCTCTTTTAATTCTATTCATTGCTGATATTGTATATAAATTGTTTGTACCCAGATACCCAATTGTCAATCCTAGAGAGAACTGCAATGGAGACAAGAATGGTTTTCCGGGTGTTAGAAATTATGGAGTGGTGAATCCGGATGAAGAATATGATGTGTACTGTTATATTGATAAACTACGAGGTACATGACCAATCAAATAAAAAACATAAATTATATGTGCACATTTATGTAATTACCTATTACATTTAAAATACATGTTCAATCAGGTAAATGGCTTAAATTTTTTTTTATTTTTCATGCACATAATTGGGTGTTCTTTGCAAAATAAATTGTCACCACATTCACTAAGCTAAGGAAAAATTCCTCTGAAAAGAGAAAACTGCCTTGCAAAGTATACAGCCTATTTATCTTTAGTAAATCAACCCCACTGTGTGTGTGTGAATGTGAGTGTATATACTGTATGTGTCATGTTACAAATAATGACATAATGTTCCAATATGGTACGCAAGAAAAAAAGACATGAATGGTCACATTCATTACCACGGTGCTTGCAATGACTATATTTCAAAGAGAAAAAAGGAAACCAAACAAAAACATTTATAAAAGTAAATATATGCTGGTGTTATGTATTATCTTTGCAGAATTGTATCAATTAAGTTGTCAGTAAAAAAGGACTTTCTTTATTTACATATAGCTGTATCGTGGAATACTTTCAAAGTCGTTAGCTACAACACAGTAAACCTTGTTCTTTGATTTATGTGGGGTAATTATATATGCTTAGCAACACCAACTACTTATAATAACTTCCCTTTATTTCAGAGGAACAAACCTAAATGCAATACTAAAGTCAGTTTCAAAGTAATCATTTAACATACATATTATTAAGTAAGGTAAACACATACAAGATCGATAGATAGATAGATAGATAGATAGATAGATAGATAGATAGATAGATAGATAGATAGAACATGAATAGTTGGATGAGTAGGCCAGTAAAACAGATTTGTCCCATTGCCTGTAGCCCTGTATTGGTAATTTTTTTTTTTAGACAATGTGAACTCATTGCCTTGTCTGACATAATTCCTTCATAATTAACACATATTTAATGGTGTGTAGCACCATTGATCATATTACCTGAGCAAAGTGAGAAGATAACCATACCTTCCAACTTTTTGAGTTGAATAAGAATTACTCTTTTACACAAAGTAGGTAGGCAAGGACAAACCCCTGCCATACCAGCTATGCTGACTGTGAACAATTAATACACAAAAATGGTAAAGTGCTTTTTTTACTAATACTTTAGCTTTATACCGGTTTTCAACATAACTATTTAAAGGGTGAATTTAGAGGTGTAGTATAACACTTTTGGTAGTGAAATAGTTACAGAGGGACAATTGAGGAGAAACGAGGGACAGATTTCTATTAAAAAATATGTTTTCAAAGTATTTTATTAGAAAAGGACAGTCTCTCAAAAGGATTGTTGGTAGCTCTGCCTGACCCAAGTTGATTATGAGCTGGAGAGTGTTCCAGTGACCAGTAAAAGTTTACTTTTTCTGAATAAATGATTCATATGTCTTTTCTGTATGTGCATCTCTTACCATAATTTTACGCTTATATTTCATTTACGACAAATATACTTTAAACACTTTGTGCATTAATGTTCCTTTGATGCCAATTGCAGGAGCGGTGTTCTTTGCAACCCAGCCTGATCACTTCACCTTCCAACAAGCACAAGAGTTTTGTGAGAGCAAAAACGCTACCTTAGCTTCCACAGGGCAACTTTACTCCGCCTGGAAGTCAGGATTTGACAAGTGCCGAGCAGGCTGGCTATCCGATGGAAGTGTTCGCTATCCTATTGTGACACCACGTCGAGTATGTGGGGGTGACCAACCTGGAGTCAGAACGATCTATTTGTTTGCAAACCAGACAGGATTTCCAGATCCCCTGTCAAAATACAATGCCTTTTGTTTCAGGGGTAAGTGTTTTATATAAATGCCCATGAATAAGAATTTTAAAAAAATCAATGTCACTGAGCTTAATGTGCTGGTCATCAAATGATGTACTTATTGTTCAGTGCAAGCAATGCAGGTGCATTGTACTGGTCAATAGCATAGCAAGCTAAATCATTAGGAAAATTGTTTGTATGAAAACTTGTTAATAAAAACAAGTTCACATATACTGTACTAGGAGGTGGATTATGAAAGTGCATACGTTTTTCAGCAGCCTGGCAATCCATTGGCAAATTCAAAGCCCATTTACTTTAGCAGACACTTTGAATTTCCCTTTCATCATCTATATGCCTTTTAAAAGTCACACTCACTTACTCAAATTAAATTTGATCTTTTTTTTGCAATACTTTTTAGAATGGTCTCCCAATATCAATATTAAACTTGTTACACAAAGATACATTGTTTTGTTTTTTTACAGTCATCCAAATGCCTGGTGCCTGTTGAGCATTGCCGTTAGTATACAGGTATCACTACACACCAGATGGTACAGGACAGGCATATGAGACCAAAATAAAATTGAGTGCTGAATTTTCATGATTTAACAAATACGGTGCCTCCTTAACTTCAAGGTGCCACTGTTACCACGGTAAATAAATGCCACAGCACTTCTTAAGTTCTTTTCTGCTGTGGCAGGGTAACATGACCTTCATCTGACTCATTTAGCTAATAGTGTGTTGGGAATAGACTTCAATACACCTCTCGTGCATCCAGTGAGTCCGAAATCCGTCTTCCAGCACTGCAGCCTCCTACAAAGTCTTTAGCATTTCACACTTCTCAAATCCATTCATTGTCAACTGCTCATTGTGATTGCTTCATCACTGCAGAACTCAGCAGTGGCATAGCTCTCAAACAAAGGAGCCACTCCCTGATATGTCACAATACTGAAGACTTTGCCAGTGGTGGCAATATTGGAAGACGCACGAGTATGGACTCGCCACTCATTGGACTCGCCACTCATTGTAGATGTCATTTTTTTATAGTCTCCTTTATGATCAGAAAGTGACAGATTTGCATTAAAAGAAATGAAATATCATTTGATGTGATAAACTTTTCTTCTTTTGTTTGTTTAAGTTATAAGAAATATATTGCACAATTCAGCAAAATGTTTTTTTTTTTATTTCATGCTGTAGCTTCTTTGTTTGAGGAGGAGGAGGTCACAGGCACTCCATCAATTGAAGAAGAAATTATTGCAACTAAGGTGTACCCTGGTGTGGAGGGTTTGCCTTCTGGAGAAGAGATAACTGTAGAGATGGTAACTGCCACTGAATTTGAGAATGAAACCGACTTCTGGTTAATAAATGCCACTGCACTTCCAACTGTTGAATTAGAAATAGGTAAGTAAGGTAGCCTATCATTCATTTGTACCATGTGTCAAGTGACCCCACACTGCAATTGTTTACTATTTCTTCTATTGTATAAAACACCCCAGTTATGAACACACAGGCCTCTTTATTCTCTCTTTTAGATCGATTATTAATTGTTGGAACTAAGTTACATGCCCTCCTCTTGTTTAATTCTATTGGTTGTAAACTACAGTAGTTAATCTGGCAGCTGACTCATGTACGGCTATCACTGACAAATATAAGTAGCTTTACTATAAACTCCCAGGTTACTTCTAAGGGTAATGAAGCACTTGCTCAGATTCCATAAAAGTAATGTGCTTGCCATGGAACTGGCAAGCGGGATTGATGTTTGACCAGTGAAGTTTAATTGTCACGGAAAACATAATGAACATGAGCATTGTTTCTAAAATTATTTATATCTGATAAAATAGAATACAATGCACTAAAGCTAACTGCATATTGTTTCACTCTTATCATTTTCCCTATATCACCTTACAATACTTTAGTATATTGCTTGGGCAGAGTGGTAGTCAATAGGATTGATTTATTATCTCACGGCACACTAGTGTGCCGCGGCACAGTGGTTGAAAAACGCTGTACTAAAGGACTAAAAACTGTTCACTTAGCTGAAATTATAATTCAAAGTTTTGTCTTTTATGCAAACACTGAATTTGCAGGTCGAAAATAGTATTAAATGTATTATTTTTATACAGGATTTATATAGTGTAAAAATTGTACAAAACTGCAACTACATGTTTGATTCTGCATTATCATCTATATGATATTTTTATGATAATTTATTTTTTCAATATTTCTTTTTGGTTTAAAGTGAGGCCTTCAGCAATTCCTCCCGTGGCTGCAGTTCCAGAGGATGTCAGTGGAGAAGCATCAGTCAGCGGGGTTAGTGGTATTCCATCTGGAGAAGTCTCTGGGGAGCCTAGTGGAGAAGTTTCTGGTGTTCCTGACATTAGTGGGGAACTATCAGCAAGTGGACTTCCTTCAGGAGAGGAAATTAGTGGAGAACCATCAGGAATAAGCGGACTTCCTTCAGGAGAGGAAATTAGTGGAGAACCATCAGGAATAAGCGGACTTCCTTCAGGAGAGGAAATTAGTGGAGAACCATCAGGAATAAGTGGACTTCCATCTGGTTTAGATATATCTGGAGACATTAGTGCAAGTGGACTTCCATCAGGGGATGTTTCTGGTGAAATACCATCGGGTGAAATTGATATCAGTGGTTTACCTTCTGGGTTCCCATCTGGAGATGAACTTTTTTCTGGATCTGCTTCTGGATTCCCTGATGTTAGTGGACTAACATCAGCAGGCACAAGTGGACTTCCTTCTGGAGATGTTAGTGGGGAGATATCTGGTTTTGAGTTATTTAGTGGGTTACCATCAGGGTTTGTAAGTGGTCTGTCTTCTGCTAGTGGAGATTTCAGTGGACTGCCTTCTGGTTTTCCAACAATCATACATGTTGATACTACTTGGACAGAAGGTGCAACAAAAACACCAGAAACAGAAGCAGAAGGGAAAGGAATAACCGAGTTTAGTGCCTCTGGTGATCTATCTGGGTTACCTTCCACAGATTTTAGCGGCCTAGTTTCAGGACTAGACCTAAGTGGTGAGCCTTCTGGAGTTTTTGATACAAGTGGAGAAGTATCAGGCACTGATATCAGTGGCTTTCCATCTGGAATACTGGAAAGTAGTGGAGAACTGTCGGGTGATATCTCTGGAATTAGTGGGCTACCATCTGGAATAAGTGGTGAAGAATCTGGAGATATATCTGGAGTGAAGGAATTTAGTGGGGAGATATCTGGCTTACCTAGTGGTGATCTGTCTGGTATCAGTGGCTCAGGTTTAGTAGATTTCAGTGGTGCAATTGATATAAGTGGTGAAATATCTGGTGTAAGTGGTGAAACTTCTGCAGTTATTGATATCAGTGGCATGAGCTCTGGCACATTTGATGAAAGTGGTGAACCATCTGGTGTTACCCTAATAGATGGCAGTTTACTAGAAATTACTAGACCATCAGAAAAAGAAGAGGAAGGTAAGGGCTCTGTAGAAGAAAGTGGACTGTTTTCAGGAGATTTCTCAGGTGAAATATCTGGGATTTCTGGTATAAGTGGGGAACCCTCAGGTGATATAGATGCCAGTGGTCTTTTCTCTGGAGACATGCCCAGTGGTAAACTAGATATCAGTGGACTGACAAGTGGTATTATTGATATAAGTGGAGAAGCATCAGGAATCAGTGGCTTGCCATCTGGAGTCGATGAAATAAGTGGAATCGATGAAATAAGTGGACTCACATCTGGTATTCCTACTATATCTCATGCAGATCTCACTTTAGTAGAGGTCCCAACCACAGGACCTGTTACTGAGGAGGCTGGCCAAGGACCATCAGGAATATTTGAGATTAGTGGATTTCCATCAGGAGAAGCATCTACAGAAACATCTGGGATTATTGATTTAAGTGGATTTACATCTGCCACACAAGAAAGTGGAGATAGTTCTGGCATCTACACTTCTGGGATCCCTGATATCAAACTCATTACTGATGATTTGATTGAAGCAGTTACTGAACCAACTGTTTCACAAGAGTTAGCTGGAGTGACCAGTCCATATATCATTGACTCATCTGCATCCGGGGATATCAGTGGTGAGGCCCCTCTTACTATTCCTGACATCAGTGGAGAGCCATCAGGAATTCCTCTAACAAGTGGTGAACCTGAAAGATTTGTTGAAGGTAGTACAGAAGCCAGCACTGATATATCAGGGCATCAAACGTCCTCTGCCCATGATGTGTCAGGTGAAACATCTGTACCTGACATAATTATTAGCACATCACAACCAGAATCTGAGATAAGTCTTGTCTCAAGGGAACCTGAGGAAGCCAAAACGGAAACAGAACTATCTGCCTCTGCTTCAGGAGATGTTACAGAAGATGTACCACTTGTAGAAGTAACACCAGCACCATTAACAGAAGCTAAACCACAGGTTGTTCCTGATGTAACCGAAGTTGAAGGTAATATGGCTGTCTCATAAAATAACATTTATATTGTGCTATTTTAGCTATTACAAATACACTGAATTTGTTCCGTTCTACATATTACCTTAACATCAAGCAACAGATATATAATTGTGCAAATCATTCCCAGTCTTATACTTAATTAATTTTTCGTGTTCATAAATGTCTTATAATTACATCTTCATAGTTTGTAGGGAATGGAGACTAAAAAATCCTCCATCACATTTTAAACCATTAGTTAGTGTAGTTAGAGCCCCCCTTTTTACTTTTACCCGGGGCTCTGTTAGACAAATTTTCCCTCACTGGTGACAATGTTTTACCAAACAGCTATTAAGACAGAAAAAATGCTTTCATTTAGTAGAGTAAGGTAAGGCTAGAACCTCTGTCAAAGTTCAGTCAATGTCCCGTTTAGATTTTTCCACTTCCTTACTGGTGAAAGCATTGTCCACATGTCAGGAAGTGAGGGTACATTTCTATAACGGAGCTCTGGATAGCATTGACAACTGAAGAGGAGTTGTAATCCTTCTTCACCGTAGCAAAAAAAAAGTCTTTGGTTTGACATACACTTTAAGTTTGTGCGTCAGGGTATATGGACACAGCATCATCAGTCTGCCTTATACTTTCAGCAACCACTCAAAATTAAGAGCTTGTCCATAGTTCTTGCAGTAATTATGACAATCTATGATTCCTTTTATAAATGAATATGAGTTGCATTTAAATCTGGTTGTTGGCCTTTGGCAAGAAAGTCCTTTCAGTTGGCCATTGAGCTGTCTATCTGATAGACTTGATAGGCAGGCCAACAGAAAATTGAAGGAATGCACATATAAACAACACTGCTGCTATTTGCTAGGCAGTGGCCTAACAATGTCAGCCTGCAACAAACATGATTTTACTGACATTATCTCCAAGTAATACATTTTAAAACAGATTTACAAAATAATATTTGCTTAAGAAAACTGTATACAGTGAGACATGATGCCAAACATTAAAAACATGATTTTGGGATTACATATACTTTAAGTAGTTAAGAAAGTGCAGAGCTCTTGCAATAAAGTGCTCAAGAGATATAAGAAAAAGAGATACATTTTTGACATAAAAAACTTGATTTACTAAGGCATTGCACCAATGGAATTTTAAGGCCGCACAGGGACCCCTTTCTCTTGGTAACCTATCACCTCTACCAAAAGGTTCCTGCATGGTGCCATACAGCCATTGGTTCTAAGCTTTAGCAAATCAAGGTTTTTACCTCAAGTTTATTGGTGTGCTGGCTTCCTCATTTTCATTTATGTTGACTGTTGCTGAATACATGTTGCTGAATATGCTGAATATGAGTGGGTGGATTTAACAAAACTTGATACAAAAACTACAGCTCTCTTTTAAAGTATCACACTGATGCATCCAGCAACAAAGATTTATATTTACCTTTCTTTAAAGTGCATATATAACCTAACAATGAGGTTCCCTCATTTGCTCCCTTTTAGTTTCATAAATATACCATTGTTATATCTGTTTGATAAGTGCAAAAAAAATGTTGACCATGTCAGAAATAGCATGAGCTAGTAACTTCTTGTTCTCGCTACCTATGCTGTATTCTTATTAGTCATATTGTTCCCATCTCTGTGGACTGCAAAACACTTCACCCTTATGTTATGTAGTCTTGTAGTCTCTTTCTAGGGTGACAATGCAGCTACTCCATAAATACAGAGTGAATCGCCCTATGACAGTAAATATGTTACTGCCAGGACCACCGGGTTAATATAAAGAAAAAAATGCCTAAAAAAATAAATACCTATCTATCATACCAATATAATATATTATTGAATAATAATGTTAATTAACAAAAATTTGCACACAAATGTAAAACAAAAGAAGAAAATATTGTTTTGCAACATAGGCAAACAATGTAATTTGATTTTTTTTATGTGAGGAAGGTATGTGAAAACTAACTGGTTTCTGATGGCTGCAGGCATTGTCGGAACATGCGCTGACATCCAGTGTGGGGCTGGAAAGTGTATAGAAAGAGAAGGAAGAGTTCATTGTCAGTGCACACCAGGATATGGAGGAGACAACTGTGAAATAGGTAATTTACATCATTTTACTGTTTTGTTGACTCTCTAGCTTTTGCTAAAATTCAGGACCTGTATAATTGTGTAATTTTCTGCATTTCAGCAAATAATGAAAGGCATGACAATGCATTGTGATAAGTTTCATGGTTGATATGTCACTGAGGATTTTAACAAAGTACAATGGCATGCATCAGGCCAAAACAGTTTGTTACAGAATAGGCTTCTATTTGTTTGACAGTGATTATCTGCTATTGCTTGTTATATGTTAGGGAACTTTAGAGTTATTTGAGACAAAAAACAAACCTTCAGGGCATATGGTGCCTCATTTATGAAACGGTAAAGTAAGACTTGGAGGAAAAAAGGTACATTTAGTTGCTGTACTACAGCTATGATCAACTCCAGTATGTAAGACTCTAGTACATGTTTCTGTTCTCTTTCAGTCTTATAAGTGATATAATTAGTAGAGGTGACAGAATATTTTAAAAAAGGTAACAAAATCCCAATATAATAAAAAAACAAATCTTGCAGCACAGTATCTCCCAAAGAACTAAAATGAAGAAAATTAAAATGTACCCTTAGCCTTAAACAAACACTTAAGCTGTGTACTCATGGATAGATTTTTTTCATCAGCCTGGAAGGCTGAATTTAAAAAAATCAACACCTTTTTACATAGGGGCACATCCACTCTTCCTAACAGAGCTGCATCAACAGTCATAATTAAAGTGACAGTAACCCCATCCAGACCAATGATGGAATTATCACGTCACGATCATTCAGTTCGTTAATGACTGGTGATGGGATAATTCCATCAATTCATACAATAACAGGTGGTCCGTGAAAGGACCAGCACCTCATTGAGTTACTGTTGTTGATGGGTCCCTTGAGGTCCGAGGCAGACCCTCAACAGCAGGTTAGGTGGACACAGTCCTGTGATCACAGCAAGAGCTATGACAGTCACACAGCCAGCAGCTGCTCACTGTGTTTTGTAAACAGCTAGCCGGTTGTGTTACAAAAGTGATACAAAGTATCTCTAAGGAGAATACTGTAGTCTACTCCGAAATACTGAGGGGGTTATTCACAAAGCTAGCTTCGGCCGCCTGAGCCCTTCGGTTCAGTAGAACCAAAGGGTTGCTGTATACACTATAGCCCGTACAGCTCCTGAAGTTGGTCGAGCCGAAGGCATATGCTTGGGCCCGACTGAACCGAGGTGAAAGCCAAAGCCGGCCGGCCATTGGCCACCCGAAAGCCTGCTACTGGCAGCTGGTCAGAGCCAGCCGTCATCTCACGGCTGGCTCCGGCCACTTGCAATGACAGATCAGCGTCCCCTGGTTACCAGGTAATTGTCATTGAGAGCTCAGCAGAGCCGGCTTTGATATCACAGTCGGCGGCATTCGGCTATTCACTCACTGCTGTTCGGCCCCTATGAGAATTGGCCAAACAGTCAGCAGCGAGTAGCCTGCCGGAGGTTCGGCTGAGTCGAACTCCTTCTGCACTTCGGGTCGGCCCAACATGCTGAGCATGTTGGGTCGACCCGAAGCTAACTGAAGCTAGCCGATTTATGGCTGATTTTAGCCGATATACGGCTGAAATCAGCTGTATAAGCCTGAAGTGAATAGCCAACAATGGTTGTTATGGTAATAACACATGCATTATAATTTAGTGAATTTAATCTATTTGCATATATCTATCATTTGTGATTTAGCTTTTTAGCTGCAGATGATGATTGGTTTATTACTAATAGTTATGTTATCCTGCATCAGTCACTAATTCATGCAGCCATGCCTCTAACTGGCAATGGGGAAAACATATTCTACTAATGGGTCTAGAGGAAAAGAGCTGTTCAGTGCTCGAGCAATATAGACAGCTTAGCCTTCATACATTTGGTACAGAATGCATACAGTATTTTTGTAAAGTTTTGTTGATTTTTAAAGACAAGTTTAAAACCTAGTTTCTAAGCATGTTTTTGTCTTATTTTCAAGCATTTGTCATTTTAAACTTATTGACATTTTATTTTTCAGCTCCCATGATAACCAAAATTTCTTTTTTTTCTGACTTTAGAAAAATGAAAGCTGTTATGATGGCAACATAAACAACAATAGAAGTGGTAGAAATAGAATACTCAATAACACAATAGTAATTTAGGGGGTTATTCACAAAGCTGCCAAAGGCAGCCGACTGAATATCCCAGCCGAAGTGAAGTGAGCCGAATTACCTTCGCTGTTCACTCCGGCTTGGTGCGGCTGATTTCAGCAGTATATCGGCTGAAATCAGCCATACATCGGTTTGGCCCCTATGAGAATAGGCCGAAGGGCAGCGAGTAACCTGCCGGAGGTTCGGCTCAGCTGATCCAGATGTTGGATCGGCTGAGTCGGACTCCTTCTGCACTTCGGCTCGGCCAAACATGCTGAGCATGTTTGACCGAACCGAATTCAGCCGAAGCAAGCCAATGTATGGCTGATTTTAGCCCTACAAGCCTGAAGTGAATAGCCGAACACGTTCGGCTCACTTCACTTCAGGTTGGGTGTTACCTCGGCTGCCTACAGCAGCTTTGTGCATAACCCTCTTAGTATATCTGTGTGATTCCCTGTGCTCCTGTACATGTCACTGCAGACAGACGGAAGTAATACACAAACAGATGCAGCTTGCCATCCTTTGCTTCCCTAGAGATGTGAATCTTTGCTTCAGACACTAAATTATTTTGTGTATATAGGAATTTGAGATCTGCAGCATCAATAAGAAAATGTACCCAAGATGTATTATTCATTTACAGTACATTTTTATTCTGGTTCTTGAGTTTGGTGGGGAAACTGATTTACATATTAATGCAATAACCATTTTAATGTATTGTGTTCTTAAAATAATCTATAGGCTGGTTTTCATTTTATTTTTAATCTGTTGGTGAAAATGAATAGTATCAAGAATTATTTAATACCAATTCTTAAGGTGGCCATATATTGTACGATTTTCATTCAAATTTTTTTGTTTCTGGCATGAACCCTCGTTCAATTTTACCTAGACTTCCCCATCAAGCACAATCAAATGTCAGTTTTGGAAATAGTTCCTTACCATACTAACCAACCAACGTTTGACAAACAATGAAAATAATTTCCTTTTCTGTATGTGTCGTGTTCTTGCTGAGATTTTTGATGAAAGAAAGCCCCACTAATTCATCGATTTGAGTTCGGTCAGAGAAAAAAATTTCAAACTGCCCAATCGAAAAAATTTCGATCACAATATCAAAAACGAAAATCGGTGATGTACCATCAACCGAAAGATTGTTCGAAAGACCGTTCTTGTACGATTTTCAAATGAGAATAACACAATGTACAGTTGGACCACCTTCAGTCTAATCTGAAAGATGAATAATCTGAAAAATGGCATCCAAAAGAAGTAAAATGTAATTGCCCCGGAGAACCAATCATAATTGTGTTTTCTGTAACCTAGATCATAACTGTGACAGCTGTAACCATAACAGCTAGGAATGCAGTGAAACTTGCATAGACAACTTCTTCCCTTTATGAAGAAGGTCTAGTATTTATTATTTAGCGTCTTGGCCAAATGGCCCAAAATGCATCTGGCTATTTATAAAGAAAAAAACAGTGCTTTGCAAAATTTACCTAGAAGCAGAAAAATTATGCATAATTATGTTATTATTCAGTGGGATACACTTATGTAAATTGTGTATGCAGTACTAAAACAAATTGGAGTTTCTTATAGTAGAAACTAATTATTGACATACTTTATGTAGCAAACAGGTAGATGAATACAGTCTTCAGAATCTTAAACTCCAGGCAAAATGAGTGTAATTACTGAAACCAGTAAACATTTCAGCTGTCATAAATTCAAAAGGTAAACTCAGGTAAATCAAAATCTAAAAAGGTTCAACACAAAAAAACTACCCTGGATGTTGACTATGCATAGCAATAATATGTTCCCTTCTTCCGTTTAGTGTCTTATCTCTCATTACCACTGCTTTGTGAATTATTCTGAATATGGCTGTTAAGAGGAAGGTGGGTTGCTGGGCACCCTTGACAACCACAATTAAACTACATTCTGACCCTCCCAAAATGACATATGGTACAGAAGAAGCAAGTAGTTAATCTAACCCTGAATAGGAAATACAAGTGCAAATGACATTAATCAGCATCAATGTTAAGCCTGCTGAGTCACTTTTTCCATTTATGCCACTATGAAAGTGCTGTAAACAAAAGGGTACACCGATATACAAATGTTTTCATAAATAATGTCAACCTGTCATAGTGGCAAATAATCAGATTTGCTTGTATACAGGGCAATGTTGATATTTAACTGCATGTGAAGAACCCTTTATTTTTAATTAATTATAGACAGATTCATCAACTCTTCCCAGAACTTCTGTGTTAGACATGATTCTCTTGTTCCATGATTCTCATATACTACAATGTGTGGGAGAGGGGCTACTGATTTGTTTTGGTGCAAACACCAGGTGGTTTAAACACTGATGTTGGTTCAGGATGGCTCAATACTTTCAGGAAGCACAATGTAAGTATGGTTTTGAAGGGATTAACTCAGTGTTAGGAATTAAGTTTGGGTGGGTAGTTAGAATACATTTTATTATTAAGTGACATTAAGGGTTAAGGTTTGGATTAGGATTAAGGGTTGTAGGGGTTAAATGCTAGGTGAAATTTTAAGGTTAAGGCTAATTTTAGGACTAGGTTAACTTTTGAAGTTTGGTAAATGTTAGGGTAAGATTAGGTGTTAATGGTTAGGTGCTAAAGTTAGGTTGAGGGTTAAATGTTGGGGAGGTGAAGTATTATGGGTTAATTTAGAGATTAGGTTGAGTGAACGCAGGGAGCCAGCCGTAGTGCGATACAATGCGTTACAGAGCCCGACCGCTCTGGAACACACTGTTTGTGGTGTGAACCGGCCCTGAACACAGGGAGCTGGCCGAGTTGCGTTCCAGCATGTTCCAGAGGCAATATGCTCAGGAACACACTCTTTGTGGTGTGAACCAGCCCTAAGGATTAGTTTAAGATTAGAATTTAGGGTATCTTGACAGGCCCTTTTTTCCACCTGTTTTCTGCAACAAAACCCCATACCAATATTACCAACACAGGTATGTACAAATAATTCTAATGTACATTATAATGCACAAATTCTGTGAGCTCAGTCATTACAGGTCCATCAGACCAGCATTTCCCTATTGCCAACATCTAATCGGGTTACAGTGATTGTTTTTATTATTGTCTCCCAACCTTTCTTTTAGTATTCCTTACTCCGAAGCCATAAGTGGGTAATTTATCATGCTGATTGTAACATGGCTTTGAAAACTGTAGTTGGTAAAAATTTCATTTTAAAGCAAAACTATACAAATTATAAATTACACAGGATTAATGCAATTATTAAATGCAAGTAAGCAGTGTCTCTGTCTCATTTGCCTGGGAATCTGCAGAACTTAGACGTATAAGTGATTTAAGGAATGAGTTGGCAACACTGAGGATCCCATTTTTCAGTAGCAAGAAGCTGACTGCACTGTCTTCTACAAGGCACAGGGGATGTGGATAGGAGGCACTAGATCCAAAAGTCTGCCAGATATCACAATGTAGAATGTAATCTGTGGTATAAAGTATATTGACTTTGGTTAGGCAGCTCCCTGACATGAACGGATCTTCAGAGGGTGTTTCAGATAAGATCCAAGGTAAATAGTAGGACAGGTGCACTACACTGTTGCTATAGCATCCAAGTAAGTTTATTTAATCATAAAAAGTTAATCAAGAGTTTTTAGATTTTAGATTTGTTATGATGAAATAAACTGACCTGACTATTTACTAGTGGTGTAGTGTTCCTTATCTGCTATACCCTTTGGCTCTATAAAATACGATCTCCAACAGTCTTTTGACGAATGCTAATAGATTGTATGATGTCATAAACTTCTTGACTTTTTGCCAAAGACGTGGCACTCATTTTCTGCTATACCCCTTGGGTCTACAAAACAGGATTTTCCAACAGCCTTTTGACAAACGCTGGTGGACACTATTTTATTCCATAGAAAAAGTCGGAGCTTGCAATTTAAACAAGCAGAAATTAATTGCAATAAATGAACACTACACATATGTAGTGCCTTGCATAAATGTCAATAAATCCTATGCAAAACAAGTATTTGATGTGCTATTTGTTTGTTGTCTGGTGAAATGTTGTTCTCCTGTTCTGTTTTTTCTTCAGGAATCATGTGAGAGACAACACAGCTGGCCCATTAGGGGCAAAGAAGCCTAAAAAGTCCTAATCTGCCTGTCAAAGCTTCCACATGCCCCTGCTGTTTGCCTTGCTTTAGCTAAATGCCTAATTTTCCCTTATGGCGTGCTTAAAACGTAATTGTTGCTAATCCAAAAATAAAAAGGAGAACAAGTTACTTGGTCAGCTAGGGCTGGTTCAAATTGCTTCTGCTTGCTGTCAAACACAGAGCATGCTGGGCTAAAGAGCATTAACCCTTAAGCCTTAAAACCGTTTGAAAGTCCACAGTATGTTCAATCAACTCTCATTCTTGTTACGTTATAATGCTGATTGTGCATTTTTCTTTCTAAGGCACAAATAGTGAGCTCATTACCTGTGCAAAAGCTCTATATTTATTTTTAATGGGGCTTTACACCTTTTTTGAAACGCATAATGAATGCAGCAGATTGTCAGTAACCACTCCTGAAACAAAAATGTGATGTAAATTTACGTGAAATATTTTTTTTCCAATACACACATATATATCCAGATTAGGGAAAGTATTGGAATTAGATAAAATGCTTTATGCTTAAAACAACGCAATTTGGTTGTTTGCCACAATTGTGTTTGTGAACACTCATTATTACACATGTTTTGCAGTGTTGGAATCTACTGATAACAGTACCTTAAAGTAGTAGTAATATATTTCAAATAGTCTAATAATTTTTTATTTTTTTACGTACATCCTTCAAGTTATCACGTTTGATAACATAACTATTAAGAAAAGTATACATACATGTAGGGGACATGCGCTGTTAGCCTAACACTGTTTCTATGTCCTTTCACTGACATACATATGTCTATGACTACATTAGAAGCAGCATTTGAACAGCACAACTCAATTAACCAGATGTGCTCTCCTTTTTTTTGTTAGGTAGCAGTCCTAGGTCCTAATGGCAGAACCTTGATTTTTTTACAGACATTGATGAATGCCTTCCAAGCCCTTGTGTGAATGGAGCTACCTGCGTTGATGGCATCGACTCATTCAAATGCTTATGCCTTCCCAGCTACGGAGGGGACCTATGTCAGATCGGTACGACCAATGTGGCTTGAGCTAATTTTACTAACAACTGCATCCCAACCAAAACAGATCCTCCCTCCTTCCAAAGCAAAGGGTAGTTATTGTTTCTTGGTGGGCTTAGGCCTACCTGTGAGAGAAGAGTGAATAATCTGATTTTGTCTCTTTCAGTTTCTCTCCCTCTTCTTCCCTAAATGAATGATTTTATTTCAGATTACAGGATATAACTCGACCTGATCAAGAAAGAAATGTTTTGTTGTATGTCTTCTCTTTTAAGGTTTTCTAACCAACTGCAGGTTCCAAAAGAGTCAATATATCTAAACTACAACTAGGAATTTTATAGGGCCCATAGACCTAAGGTATCTGGGGAATCTTTGTATTTTCCTAGAAAACACTGTAACACTTTCTGTTACCTTTACTAATTTATATATTTGTAAACCAAACCTGGCAAAAAATACACAATGCACATAGCTAAAACATGTTTAATCAAGTATGCCTTCTCTTTATGGCAGATTTTGGTTATTGACACATGCTCCTTAGCATAAGTCATAGGATCTGAAAATCTAGTATATTGAAGGTCAGTAGAGACTTCAGGTTCAAAATACTGTTTTGATTATTCTCATAGTAAGATAAGACAATTCTGCCTGATAAAGTACTCCACACTGCTCTGTATAGGAACATCTGAAGCACCGCATGCATGCCATAAGGTCATGTAATGGGAATTGTAGTGCTATATAATTATTAATTTTAAAAGAATGGCAGGGTTTTAGGATATATGAAGCACCTACTGCAATGTGCCCAAATATTAATGTTTAATCACATTTAGATCCATGGCAAGTAGCGTGCTATGTAAAGCATAGAAGTCAATAGATAAATAAAAGAAAAAATACATTAATGAACACATTAAAGAGCTAATGAATAAAGCAATCAAATAGCAAATACATGCTTGGCATTGATTTTGTGGTTTTGGGTGCTTTTCAGCATTAACTAAAAGCTTCTATTGTTATATTAAGTCAACTAAGCAACACAGCAAACAAGATAAGAAAAGGCATGCTGTTCCCTGAAATTTAAAATGGTTCATAAACTCTTCTTAATTAATCAAAATAAGAACTGGTGTCTTAATAATTTTGAGACTCAAAAACAAAATCTGCCTTTTTTTTAGTTAGACAATGTGCTAGCAGGAAATTGCACTTGTATGTCTGTACTACAGAAAGGTCATTGTTAATTTGGAGTAATGGAAAATCTATTAATTCACTTGTCTACTTTAACTTTATTGCTATCACATAGGGTGCTAATAAGCTCCCTATGTAATAGCAAATTTGATGTGGCAGGTCCTCTTTATGGAGACATCAGGGGTCTTTTAGACCCCTAATGTCACTTAGGGACCCCAAAGAAGCTGATGAAGCAGAGATCTGCTTCACCAGCTTCTACTCCTGGCTCTAATGTGCACAGTGACACCAAAGTGATGTAATACACTAATGATCAACTAGAAGCTTGCTGATCTCCCTCTGATCGGTGAGTGGAGACCCGCTGTGCCTGTGCCGGACCTGGATGGGGGACAGCGGAGCCTGGGGAAGCCAGTGGCGGAGTGGGGGGCCCCGCCATATAAGACACTGGATTGCTTGTATCTAAAAAGCAATCACCGGCTGTTTAAAATTATACCAAGAGCATGACCGCAGTAGCAGCCATGTTTTTGGTATAACCGTTTCAGGACCAGGATGTTTTTTGAAGGTGGGTGGTCCTAAAGCAGTTAATATTGCTGTGTTTTATTTGAAAGTCCACTTAACACGACCTAAAACTATGAAGAAATCTACATATTTTTATTAAAAAGTACCTATTCATTTGTTTTTCTTGTTCATGAAGGCACAGTGACTTTAAAGTTTTGGGAAACATTTCATACCCATTCTGATGGTTAAAGACCTAAATCAGAATTCATAAGTCTATAAACCTTTTGAATGATCTCTTTTCAAACTTTTTTATCTCCTAAAATATTGCATGGTTAAACCTAATTCATTTATAAAGAGTTGGGCAAGGGTATTGCTCCTATATACTGCATGTTAGCACTGCATTATTTATTTCTGTTACGTTTCAATGAGAATTACATTTGGAATCTTCAAATCAGCTTTAAACATTCATGTAGTGTCAGTTTACAAAGATCCCTGAGGAACAGAACAGGTATGTGCTCTGTTGCCATTCATTAACATAGGAGATGCCCTTCAAATGATGTCTGCTTGAAGTTTTTTTTGCTGCCCTAATGCCATAGTGCTTCCTACAGCTACTATGTAACCCAAAGGAAATGGAGGTATGAATGGGCCACTCTCTGTCTGTTCATTAGACCAAGTATATATACATATAGACAACATGTATTTAAAGCATGCATATCTCAATTACAATCAATAAAGCCAGGATTTAGTAGTGGCAAATTTAATTTATAGTATGTGCAGTCAATGGTTTGTGTATATATCCGGCCTTGCAGCTAAAGCCTCTCCTTTGCTAAATCAAAAATTGTGTTTAAGCATGGGAATAATATTTCCACTCCTCAGAACACATGCTATTTTGTGTTAAATCCCCCCTGCTATACCCCTATATATAAGAAGCTATAGACACATTATGGAAGGTCAATGATATGTCACATTAAAAATATACATTTTGTAAGGTAAATGATTAAACATTCCATGGGAGCATCTTTCATATTAAAGTGGCATCATCATTATTATCATCCCTCTCCTTAATCATAATTTACACATCATCGTTACATTTTATGATCTTTTAGTTATCATGATGCCTCCCTATTCAAAATGTCAGTAGAAACTCCTGTATTCTATGGTACGTGTATTCTATGGTACTAAAATAGTTGCTTGGTAGATTTTTGATTCATTAGAGGAACCTGCAGTTGAAACCTCTTTTTCCTTTACTTGTGTAAGTCTTGCATCCCTGTATGGCTGGGTCAGGTCATCTGACAGACTGACACCTCTTTTTACTGATCATTTTCAGGTAAAAGACACCCTTTAACTTTGTCTCTGTTAGTCAGATATTACTGACATTTTGTTTTTACAGGTTCTCAGTTCTGACTGCTAAAAGAAGCTTCATGGTGGACTCCCAACCTCCCATCTATAGATGTTGTTACCTCACTTCATTCTTTTCTCTTATATCTTCTAGATATTGAAGTATGTGATGAAGGCTGGACCAAATTCCAAGGACATTGCTACCAACACTTCTCAGAAAGAGAAACCTGGGGAGATGCAGAGAATACATGTAGGAGCCATCAGTCACATTTATCTAGCATCTTGTCACCTGAAGAGCAAGAGTTTGTAAATGGTAAGCAATGAGTAAGAGTGTATTTAAAGCATATTTAATTGCATGTGTATTCACTTTATTTTACATCAAGGACATGGATAAAATATTGTTATATGTTTAACTGAGCCTACCGGCTTATAAAAATCAGTAACTTTTATCACACTAAAGGTTTCTGCAGAACTCTTTTACTTCTTTTGCAAACAGCAAGTCTAGATCCTAATACAACCCTTAAAAGAAATACCCCCATCCAGCTGATTTCTGCTACATACGTCTAGGACACATGGTCCATGGGTGGTAACACACAGTGTATAGATGTGAGGACTAGTGATGGGCTGCATGTTCGAATCGAGCATAGGTTCGACTCGAACATAGCCTGTTCTAGCGTTCGCTGAACACCGATCATTGCGGGATGTTCGCGGTCTGTTCGACCGCGGAACATCCCACAATGCACTATGCCCTTCGAAACTGTAATTGGCTACCGCAGGTCAGGTGCAAGACTGTGCCAACCAGTGGCCGTTTTTTTACTACGGCCGGCCCGGAAGTGGTTAAATGTCATTTTTTTTCTTTATAAATGTTATTTTTGCTTCAGCAGGTTCTATACATCATACAAATGTGCCACTTTATAGGCAGTGAAAGGGGACCCCCCAGGCCCCATATTTAATGGAATTTTTCATTTTTATTTTTTCATTTTAAATGATGTTAAATCACTGCTCCTTTAAAAATGGTATTTTTTAAAAGTGTTTTTTTCATTGATACATGTCCCCCAGGGCAGTACCCGGATCCCCATACACTTTTTATGGCCAATAAATTGCATATAAGGTTTCAAAATGGGGACATTTCATTTTCTGAGTTCTACCCCCATAGACATTGAGTTCTAAGTTCGAATTAGAACTTTTTCCATGTTCGAAAGTTCAAATTAGAACCGAACACGGGGGTGTTCGGCTCATCCCTAGTGAGGACGCTGAGGAACATTACAATGTGCTGCATAGGAGGATATAGGCTGCTGGGAGAGCTGGCCGGCTTGGAGCTTTGGGTGAGTATATCCTTGTTATTATCCCTAGACACAAATGAACACTTAACCCTTGCAGTGCGGGGGTAGCCCCAATGCAGGGGTTAATAAAAAAACCTTTCCTGGAGATCTTCTTTCAGAAGATGTTTTATGTTTAGCTACATAGTTTTTTTTATAATTAATCATTTTTTTTTTACATAATTGATGACTTAATCCCCTACTCTCCGTTTAAGATTGAGAGAGCCGCCGGGGATTTAAGCCTGACAACCGCACTACACCCCCAGTTGGAACCGCAGCTGTGATCCACCATACTCATCCCAAGCCGGGCCCTGACAATTACTGATATTTAACAAAACTGGCAATCTTGGCCCATGCCCTTGAGTTTCAGAGTTTTTTTATTTGTTGTATCATTAGTGCTAGATACGAAAGGTTGCACATTACATATTTGGTTGGGTCACAGAAAATGTCCATTAGCTTCTGTAATGTATTTCCCATAAAACCCTCTGATAATTACAGTTTCAAAATTCTAAAATAGGGAAAATACTCATTAAACAATGATCTGATTTGATTCCTAGCAACAAATCCAATTTGTTCCCAAAATGACATACTGTAACTTCCTGAAACATAATATTTGCAGTAATAACCAGTGTCTGCTGATTAAATAAAAAACAGTTTTTGATGCAGTTTAGGGGAGTTTTTCCTCATGACACCCTTCACCGCCTTGCTATGGACAAAAACAAATATACAATAGCTTATTAAATACTTTATAAGTCTAAAAATTTAAATATGAGTCTGAAAGTGAGACACCAACACTGAAAAGATCTGTCTGTTGAGTCGATTTAGAAATGCTCTCAAACACACCCTGCACTGGAATGGTGATCTGGCCAAAGTGCTTGCCATAGGACTACTGAGGGAACATAAAGGCTTGGTATTGTTTTAACATCTTGTTCATCTAGGCCATCTCACTTTATCCTAATTCTTTGGTTTAAAAGCATAGTCTAGTTGTGAAATAAAGTTTACACTAATTAGATTACATAATATAAAATGTTTTTCATTTCAGTAAATAGTCAATATATTTTTCAAACGTCTTGCATTAGCAGTAACACACAACTTCATTCCAAGGTTCATATTCTATTGTTCTGCCTTGACCTGAGTAATAGCATCAGTGACTGCACATATGACAATTAAACACAAGTGGCTCTTCTATGTATTTTCTGAATTCTCAGTGTATCTATATTTATGTATTTATTAACACAATGTAATAAATAACAGGAAATGCACAAGACTATCAGTGGATTGGGTTAAATGATAAAACTGTCGAGAATGACTTCCGCTGGTCTGATGGCAACTCTTTGGTAAGTGTTATTTATTTCTGATTACAACTATTTAGACATTTTGAATAACATTATAAAATTCACTATAGATCCTTTGGTAAGTGTTATTTATTTATTATTACAGCTATTTAGACATTTTGACATCAAAAGCCACAAATAACATGTCACAAAGTCTATATAAGTTTCCAAAATTGCTATAAAGAATAGAGCTGAGTAAAGTTTCAGACTTCTATTCCGTGAATTGAAAAAGGGGGATTTAACCCCACATGAGTTGCCCCCTGTGTGTCATAAAAACCAACAAATATAATAGTAATGAAGATCACCAGCACTGGAGAAATGGAATGAATCCAAAAGTTATTTTTATTGTAGAACAATGTCACATGTGTAATATAGCCAACGTTTCGGAACCGTACAGGGTCTCTTCATCAGGACAAACATAGTGACAAAATTAACTTTTGGATTATATCAATTTCTCCAGTGCTGGTGATCTTCATTACTATTATATCTAGATTTGCATGGTGCCATCTGTGGACATCACTGCAAGCACCATTGCTATTTCAAGCATCAATAGGTCCGGATTGCTGTATGGCGTGCAGGGGACAAAAGGGTGAATAGTTTGGAGAAGGCAGGAGAATTGAACAACCTAGGCCAAAATAGCTGATTTGGAAACATTCTCTAATTCAGCTCACTTTCTAGTTCACCTTTGTTGACCTAGATTGTTCACTTCTCCTGCCTTCTCCAAACTCGTCACCCTTTTGTGAATAACCCTGCAATTATTTGTCACAAGTACTGCTGAAATCAGTTACCAAGCTTGTTTTAAATGACTTTATAAACCAATCAGAAATCATGATTGATTGGGGTAATTTCACAAAACTAGGAAAAGCTTATAATTATTATTTTTAGTAAATCCATGCTCTTTATGCTATGTTATAAATCACATGTGTTTATATACAAAACATTAAGCATACAGGAATTGAAATGATAATTTTCTTTCCCTGCCTCAGCTGAAGTGCTCCTCCATACATACAGTATATAGGTATTTGGCAGCTGATATTGCCAGTGGTGTGCACATTTGTGGAGCAAGACGATTTAAAGTGCTGCTGTGGTTAATTTTATTGTCCTTACATTTCCACATCAGTACTGGCAAACTTCCAGATCGTTCAGGAAGCAAAAGAAAATATAAATGTTTGCATAAAAAACAAATTTGATGATCTATAACTGTCCTGTGTAAAAGAGACTTTAAAGTGACATTAAACCCTCAGATTGTTTAACATAAACCAATACTGTAATGTGTGCCTTACTGTAATACATGGTTGTTTCCCTTCTCTTTGCTGCTCTTCCTTTTAAATCTGTATCTGTTCTCATGCTGGGCAGAACTTCTGTTTTGCAGCAGACTGCCTTGTCTCAGGAATCGATACACGGTGTCTGTGTATAGGTTTGTATAGGTTTGTAACCTGAGCCAGCACTACAGGAAGAGGCCCTGAGCTGAAAAGGGGAGTTCTCCCCAAGCATGAGAAGGAAAACTACCATGGATTACAGTAAGGCACACATTACAGTATTGGTTTATGTTAAAAAATCTGCAGGGGACACCTCTGTTCATTGATAAAAACTAACAGGGCTATTCACAAAAGGGTGAATAGTTTGGAGAAGGCAGGAGAATTGAACAACCTAGGCCAAAATAGCTGATTTGGAAACATTCTCTAATTCAGCTCACTTTCTAGTTCACCTTTGTTGACCTAGATTGTTCACTTCTCCTGCCTTCTCCAAACTCGTCACCCTTTTGTGAATAACCCTGCAATTATTTGTCACAAGTACTGCTGAAATCAGTTATCATTGTATAGGTTTGCAACCTGAGCCAGCACTACAGGAAGAGGCCCTGAGCTGAAAAGGGGAGTTCTCCCCAAGCATGAGAAGACATGAGGATTTAAAAGGAAGAGCATCAAAGAGAAGGAAAACTACCATGGATTACAGTAAGGCACACATTACAGGATTGGTTTATTTTAAAAAATCTGAGGGTTTAATGTCACTTTAAGTTCACCTGTGGCAAAACAGTAGTGTAGGAACAGTGGCAACTGATGTATTTCTTGCAACTGGGCCCCTGCTCAAAGGGTCTATCTAGCTTTACACAAATTTGCACTGAGGATGACAGGCATGAGAAGACCTACTCTGCCAGACCTAGCCCCTTTAATCACCACTCTGCCAACACCCAATCCACCTTACCACTTTGCAGCCTTCCTCTCACCATACCAGCGCTTACCCACACACACACACACACACATCCCCAGTGTGCCAGCACTACACTCCTTCTATGCTCTCTCACTACTCTGCAAACACCCCACCCTACACCCACTCAAGGTTCTTTACCGGCAATTAACTCTCCAGCTACTATTGTGCCTGCACACATTCCCATCCTATCTCTCAACACTCTGGCAACCCAAAACCCCCTCCCTACCCCGCCCTCAACACCCATCAGCACTAATTTATACCTCACTTGCACCACTGAACCTACATACTATTCACCCTCACCACTGCGCCTAACCACCCAATACCCCTCCGGCCAATGCCTGTACTGTCATCAACACACCTGCCACTCAGGATTTTTAATCTATGAGTTTGTTGCTTAACTCTGTTATGACCAATAAACCAGTGCTTTATTCTACTGTAACAAAAAAACACTGGGGACAGAGAAGTTCTTTGTAAATTGCAATTAATACATTAGTAGCCAGCCTGGCTCTTCAAAATCCCCCCCTCCCATTCATGCCTATGTTATGTCTCCATATCATGACATTTAAAAACAAACATTTCAAAATAGCTCTCCATCTCAGAAGCAATGGAATGTGCTAAGGTAAAATGATATCAGAAGAAATCTCAGAATACTTAGCGAATTCTCTGCTTACCTCAACTCAGAATTGTGAGTGGCTTTTCCTTTCAAGACAGCTCGTATATGCCCAGGAAATCCCTGTACTTGCTCTTCACTGCTTGGTGTACACACAATAAGGCAGTAAAAGTTGGCAAGTTTGAGTAGCAGATATTTAAAAACATTTTTATTTAAACTACCAAAGTAAAGGAACACTCCGTGAAAATAACATCCTTGTATACATAAAGTTAAAAATTTGTGATAATCAACCAGTGAACAATGTGTTTACCTGTAATGCTCCCTTGTAGTTCTGAGGCTATATTGGATCACAGCTGCGGACCAAATCCTTCTTTGGTTCCAGGTGTGGCAATCAGTCATGAATCCCAGGCGTCTCTCTCCCTTATAAACAAAGAGTTTGGGATTCTTGCATCATATACCACAAAATAAAAACAATAACGGAAGACCTAGTACTGCTTATTAATATCATAAGCTAGTTAGGTATCTTGTAAGTAAGGTAGGTATAAGGAAATCCACTTAGACAGTCTAAACGTAGAAAGGCAAATGAATGGTAATACTTTAACTGGAATAGGTAACAGCCTGCTACCAAGCAGTATCAAACACAGTACAGTTCCAATTGAAAACAAACTGAACGGCAGAGAGAGAGTGTCAATGGACAAGATAGGAATCCCCCACAACACTAGTACTTGCTCTTAGTAGTAGGATCCCCTGGTGTTCTCAGAGTTGGTGGAGTGTCCCATGCAGTGTTGATCCAGGGTAGTAGATGCTGTCGCAGGTAGGAGAGAGGGTGAGGCTCCTGGTTTGTTGGGGCATAGAACCCAATAATGGAACACCCTACCTTCGTTCTGGAGCTCCTTAAATAGTCCGTGGACGCGGAAGTGGCGCTTTGCAGTGTGCTGACACTTCCGCGCTCCACCCTGGAACGCATAGGAGCGCCACCACCGGAAATGAAGCGCGCAGTATGATGCGGCCGATGCGTTCCAGGCTGGGAAGCAAGCGGCTCGCGGTTCCCAGACTCGTTACATTACCTTCTATCAGCAACTCCTTCCTCGAGGCAGTTTATTTTATTATGTTCGCAAGAAAGAGAACACTCTTCCCAGATTGTAAGTTCTAAAGCCCATCCTAATGGTAAACCCTTTCCTGCACCTAATAAAAACAACCAATCATACATTTCTAAATAATTCCAATTGTCTTCCACAAGGCCACATGACTAGTGGTATCTTTTTTCTCTTCCCCAGCTTCAGGTGATGGGCAGTCTTCAATGCAATGCCATTACCTGGGAGCTCATTGGTTGCTTACATGTCTTAGCTTAAAGAATAATTAAACCCTCGGGGGGTTTTGCATAATTCTACTGCTAGAAACCAGTAGATATATGCAAAAACTGAAAAAAAGTCACAAAAAAGGTAATAACTTACCTGTGTCACAGCCATGCGCTCCTGTCCGAAGATCTGAAGATTCTTGGGCGGCCGCCAAGGATCACAGGGCGGGTGCGTGCGCAGTAGAGATCTTCGGCCGGAAGACGAGGAGAGACACAGGGTAAGTCAATGCATGGAGCCCGGCAGCATGCACCCACACAGACTCCATGGGACAGGAAGTGCCAGGAAGAGAGGAGTCAGCGCTGGATCAGAGAACAGCACCAGCGCTGGAGGGACTCCTGAAAACTACAGGAAAGAAGAAGATGATCGGATCAAGAGGCATCATTTAGTTAAGTCCTTACACCAGAATTGGGGGGGGGGGGGGGGGAGGAAATTTTAAACGT